CTTCGATGTACTCAAAGACTGCAGGTGAAACGAAATTGGTTAACACTCCGAATTTATTGAGACCTTCATCGGGCAGCACTGAGAGAAAATTCTCGAAAGTTCGTTTCCAGTGTATCCACGCTTTGGATGCTCCAGTATCACTTGGATCGACGCCGAAACGTTCAGGACGTAAAACTTTATCCATTTTTGGTTACTTGAATAAATTGTAGTGAAAAATATACACGATTATCAGTACAGGCTCTGGGTACGAGATTGATAAGGAGCCCAAGTTGTTTTCACCTGCTGACCCATACTTTCGCAGGCTAGGGTTCCTTCTTTAATGGCGGATGTTTGATCATTTGATGTGCTTATGGTATTGATGCCTCTATTTGTCCCATAAAACACTACAGTAAGTTTCTTTAATGTATTAATACAATAATAATAATAATGATAATAATAAGTATAATAATCATAAACTTTATTTAAGTGTCGAGTAACTTAAGCATATACTTGTTGAGGACACAATAATACAATGACACTATTTAAAGTGAAAGTATACTAGAGTGCACGCACTAAACCCGTGGACAATAATTAGTACTAAGTAGTACTATTTCATACAGAATCCTTTGTTTTCTATCGTTTGGTTATCACTATTTAGTGTTAAAAATTAGTATTAGTTTCACGGGTTTAGTGCGAGCACTCTACTTATTTTTGAACAAAATATAAACGAAAGTTCTGAAGTGAAAGTTGTTCGTTTAGTCGACCTTAGCTTCCTCATACGCAACGTTTTCTTTTATTTGTCGATTAAAATTAACTTACAAACTGATTCTGAACAGAGTTAACAGAGTTCTGAAGAACGAGTTAATGTATGGAATAAGATTCTGATTAAAAATGATGTCGTTATTTGTAGATTTGATTTCTTATTTTCAGTTCTTTATGGTTTTTCGTTAGTTATCAGGTCTTGAAGTTGAACTAGAGCCAAAGTCATCTCCAACAGGAAGGAAAATGAGTAACGATACAGTGATCAGTAATCCATCCAAGTGGATGGAAGGTCTGCCAGCCGCCAAGTGGAACTACCCATTACAGTCGTTAGCCATCCCTGGATCGCATGACTCTTGTTCATTCTCTCTTCGCAAAGATTTAGAAATCAGCCCAGCTGAATCAAAATGGCTGAAAGCACTAGCCTTTTTGTTTGGTAAACGAGTAAAATCCATCGTTTATAACTGGTCTGTAACTCAAACATATAATGCATACCAACAACTAAGCAGTGGTGTTCGCTATCTGGACCTGCGTGTCGCTTTAAGGCCTAAAGATGGCATGTTCCGAGTTGTTCATGGGTTATATGGAGCCCCTTTAACCGAAATTATGCAGCAAGTGAAACAGTTCATTACAGAGTGCCCCAAAGAGATTGTTATCCTGGATTTTAATCATTTCTATAACATGAACCAAAGTGACCATCTGAAATTTTCCAACTCTATTAAAAGTGCATTTGGCAAGCATTTGAGACCTCCAGGAAAGCAAGGTGTGACGGTGACTTTGAAAGAGCTCTGGGATAACCATCAGAATATCCTAGTATTTTATAATAATCATGAAATTGTGAGCCAAAACAAATGCTTCTGGTCTGATAGTCAGATCTATTCCCCATGGGCCAACACTGCCGACACTACTACGTTACTCAAGTTCCTAAACACTGAAACTGAAAGCCATAACCTGCCAAAAGATGCAATGCATGTTGCTCAAGCATTGCTGTCTCCAAATGTGTCAGTTCTGCTGGGCCATCTCACCAGTTCTTTAAAGGATACCCTCGCATTGAAAGCGACAGCTTTGGTTACTTCCTGGTTGAACCAGATATATGGAGATAAGAATCATAAGTTTAATATCATCATCGCTGATTTTATTGAGTACGATGAGTATACAAGTACCGTCATCAAATGGAATTACTGTAGTTAAAATTCCATTACTGACTATTGTTTAATGTGACATTAATTGTCACACGAAACAAAGCTATTTGAGACTTTGAAAAAGCAAAATACAGCCTTGATTCTGTGCACTTTGTTACTGATCGCTTAATCAAAATATCATGCTAGTACCTAAAGGTACATGGCCCAAACTGTGGGAAGGTACATGGGAAAATTCATTTAATTAACAGAAGTCTACTTGTATTTCCCATTAATCTGTCACAACTTTTGTCTCTATCAGTACATAGCAATGAAAACGTTTTATGGTAATGATTGCAAGATTTCATGTTTTGATATTTTTAAATAAGATTATAAAACAAATTAGGTAAACTAATAAACATGAGTGTCATATTTACTATCAACCTTAGAATTTTTAGAAAGTTTAATGAAAAATATAGGATATATATAATTGTACAAAATCCTGAACTAACATTTAAAAAAGACTAATATCATTCCATTATTGATAATTATAATGCAGGCATTAAGTTAATGTAGCTTGCTGTGTAGTATTTTCGTTGTAGTTTACCATATTGTCAATGGTGTAATAATAATGGAATATAAAAAACCTTAGAATTTAAGGTTTAATAGTCGCATAACTGTACAAATGCTGTTAACATTTTAAGAAACTATAATTACTTATTTAATTCCATTATTGACAATGCAGGCATTTTTATTTTTATTTTATTTTATAAGATATCATTTTGTATATTGCTGTAAAATAATAATAATAATAATAGATTAATTAATAATTAATAAATGTTTGCAAATGGAATGATTTTTGGGTTTTATGAGGCAAACCAAAATATTGCCAACCATGTTAGTATTGCACATCTATTTGTATTTCTTGTTAATGAGCTGTGTTGATAGTGTGCTGTACATAAAATGAAAAAAACTGTATTCAAGTAAATCAATAAAACATTGTAACCATGGCTTTTTACAAATTTTATTGACATCCTGAAACAATCTCAGCCAGCAGGGCTGTAACCAAGGGGGATGCATTGGATGCATATGCAATCCCCTGCAAAGCTGAAGGTCTGCTGACTCAACTCATTTCCCACCTGCAAATGGTAGCATTTAATAATTATTGATCACCCATTATTGGAATAGGATTTTTTTTTTGCTTCTGCAAAACCTGCTAATGCTATACCACTGCTCAAGATGGCTGTTAGTTTCGACACGGTTCTATTTGCCTTCCCTGTGAACCCACCCTGGTTATGGCCCTGGCATGGGCTATTCAAAGTTTTTTCACACTCATATTAGAAAATAGCATGTATGTTTTAAGGAGAAAGTAAAAGTTGCAAACCCAAAGAAAAACCCTGGAATAAAGGGAGAGAACCAATACCCTCATATTAGAAAATAGCATGTATGTTTTATGGAGAAAGTAAAAGTGGCAAACCCAAAGAAAAACCCTGGAATAAAGGGAGAGAACCAATACCCTCATATTAGAAAATAGCATGTATGTTTTAAGGAGAAAGTAAACGTGGCAAACCCAAAGAAAAACCCTGGAGTAAAGGGAGAGACCCAACAAACTCTAACCTTGTGTGATGCCAAGTCTGGGAATCAATCTGAGAAGCATTTACACTACCATTACATCACCCTTGATTCATAGCCACTTTTCAGGAGTAATAAGCCTGCAGCGAGATGACGTCTTACCCCCGAATCTATACCATAATAGTTTTTAAAATTCTTTCATATTAAAATTTTTGATTCCTTAGAAAACACAGGAACAATAGTCATAATTAAAGAACATAAATAACACTTCATGTGAGTAAATATTAGCTTTTATGTTTATTTTTTTCGTTAAATTACATTCAGTTCTCAAAGCTTGTATGGGCTTCCTGTGGATCAGCAAGCTTTGCTGTGCAAAGGTTTTCATACTAGATAAAATATGTGATACTTATGTTCTTAATATAAGTACAAGCTCATTTCATGAGCATGAATGTGTATATAAACTAATAAATGGCTTACTTACACTTTTGGAGTAATATAATTAATGAATCTATTATTAGTGTGAATTTATACAGCAGTACTTCTTAACCTAAAGTTTTATAAAGCGTGCATAAAATAGAGGTTTCTTTTATTTATGGACATGTCCCTTGCCCCATTCGGTATTCGTAACAACAGTCCTTGCGATTTCAGCTGCTTCTGTCGCTGCTTGCTTCGCTTTCGCTACAGCTTCTGTCGCCTTCCGACAATCAATGAGTTCTGTCCCTAAAAAATAACCTTCTTGCCTCGGCTTTCCATGGGTGCCATCGGGAAAAGTAACTAAACCAAGACCATCAACTTTCCCATTAGCAAACTCGCCTTCAAACTTCATCCCATCGCTTCTCGTGAAAGTCCCAGGACCATTGTACTTTCCTTGTGCGAATTGCCCAGCGTACGAAGTACCATCAGGGAATTTTAACAATCCTGGGCCCTCGCAGAAACCGTTGTTGAACTTCCCAACAAACTTGGTTCCATCGGTCATTACAAGCATTCCATAACCATGTTTTCTTCCCTCTTGATTCCATTCTCCATCATATATATCCCCTACCGGATAAGTATATCTCTGCCAAGCACAAGCTTGTGATGAATTCATCTTTACGTACAAGATCTAAATAGACCCAAATAGAGCTTCTTTAAACTTTCTTACACTTCTTTGACGTGTATATTAAAATATAACGACACCCTCGCAGTACTTGATGATCGAATAGTTTCTCGGGGCTTCTAATTACGTCACGAGACACTAGAATTCACATAAACAATAACATTCTTAATCTATCGGCACCGTACTTCGTCTCGGTCTCTTGCCTTTCCAATTATAAAATATAACCAGAGCGTAAAGTCTATTCACCTTCGAACTATATATCTTAAAAATAATAAATATATCAATTCCTTAGCTTTGAAAATATTTTTTTAAATTCTGCCGAAATGCGTTCTGGGAATAAGAATATTTTGGGTTCCCTGTGGTCGGGTGGGTAAGGACTGGTTTTATAACGAACTGTGTACAGTGTAAAGTCGTAGTTGTACATCGTTGTAGATATTTATTTATCATTTTAATTTCTAAAACATGCAATGGGTTCCTATTTGAGCGGTTTTTATTACGAAACAAGTCAAGATTCTGTTACAAAGCCCACTGAATCTTATATGAAGGATTATAGCACGTTACTAGGAGAGCCTAACAAGGTACCTGACAACGCTTCTGAAATCTCAGGAATTTATCAACATGGTTTCGAAACTCAAAAAACTTTGTGCTTGGATAATGAAAAGAAGATGGGCTCGGATTATATGAATGATTTAGTAAGACAGACTGCGTGTTTAGATGATTACGAGTCTTTAAAGACAGCAGTTTCCAAGGAGAACAACAGAAATTGTTTTGAAGATGGTGGAAAGACCCGTCACTTCTTGACGGATTATAACCCAGGTCTGAATTCAGACGAATGTACTAGTACAGAATCAATGGTCGTGTGCAGTGACGACCTGCAAATCGACATAGATCTACAACAAACCAATACAAGTTCAAAGGAAAGCACCACCAGTTCAAATCTGACATCTTCAAATTCCTGTGCATGGGAGATAGATATGGGAGGATTTTTTGTTAAAAAGAAAAGAAGAAAACAAGCCAAAAGTGGAAAGGCAAAAGAGAATGCAAAAGAAAACGTGAATAAAGATACTATTGAGGTTACCAACAGCTATACTGACGCAGTGTCTGTGGTTACCATGGAAACAATGGCATTAAGAAAAGTGTTTGATCAAAGACGATGGTAATATCTATATACGACTATACTTCATTTATGAATGGGAGTGTAGTCAGTTCTGGTCTATAGAGAGACCCATAACAAAACAGCTAAAATATCATGTACTCAAAGTTTTCTCAGGAAGAAAAACGTTTTAAGACCCCCCTCTCCCCCCTACCCCCAGAATTTCCAATTTTCTGCCATTCAAACTCTGTATTTTTGTTCTTTCTCTGACCCCCACACCTCCCTCCCCCTTCCCATCCCCTAGGAAATTCCAAATTTCTCTGTGGGAGGGGGGAACGGATAGTTTCTGGAACTACAAAATGGCACATGTAAACTACATATTAACTATATTTTGATATAATAACATTGTTCATGGATGTGAAGAATAACCCATTTTTTAACAATTTTAGAGAAAGTATACTTTTTAGGTGTGCCATGTTTCCCATTCTCAAATCACGTGTTCTTTCTTGAGGATTTGATTCTCCCACATAAGCAAAGATATATAATTACTCAAGGGAATAGCATGTTTTCTGAAATGGGGAAATGTCTTACAGTATGTTTTGTTATAAATTCTCTCCCATACAAGGTACTGCATGAGCCGTCCACAGTACAGTAAATCATGTGGTATCTCATCTTTGGTTTCTTGCTGGAATTATTTATTCAGCACATTAGGAACTGGAAGGTAGGTCATGTGTTAGTTTGAAATAATTTTATTAAAGTCAAAACTATTTTCCTGTATACAGCTATTTCAAAAAAAAAAGGTTGGTGAAGGTTTTGTTGCATGTTGGTTGAAGCTTAAAGTATATTCATATGCATATGTAAATAATTTCAGCACAGAAGAAAATATACTGGGGAAAATATACAGACAAAGTTTTGGAAAATTCCATATAATGTTGCGAACTTTCGCTGAATGCATGATTCAATTGCCCATGGTGCATTTGGGGCTTTGTATGGTGCCTTGAAACATGCAATGTTACCTTCACCATTCTTTTTTGAAATAGCTGTGTGCACATGAGACTTAATTCCAGTTGGGTAATTTGGTTGGACAGTGACCGTGGTAAGGAAGTTCGTGGGTTTAAGCCTCTGCCGCTGGACCAGCACTCAGGGTCTTAAAATATCTGAATAGAAGGTGCTGCCTTAAAAATTTCTGCAAATAGTTTGACCTTCGCTTTGGCTTGGATGACCATGTAAAATGGCAGTCCCGTATCACTTAGACACATTAAACATAGAGGGAGTTTTTCAGTACTAAATTAGCAACTGTCACTTCAAGTGACGATGACATCCTCTCTAAATAAAGATGATAAAATAGGATAGACAGGTAGGATATTCCATGGTGCCTGGATGTATATGATATATTTGTTATAACAAATACAATAGATATCTTAGATTTTTCTCTTTTTGTTTTGTTTTTGTAGTTTACGACCAATATCTCAGGAAGAGGCATTAACTATTCTGGGTTTTAAACCCCCATTTGGTGAAATTAGGTTTGGTCCTTTCACTGGAAATGCAACATTGATGAGGTAAACATGATCATAGCAAACACACATATATACATACATACAAACTTTATTTAAGACACGCACATGATGCCAAGAGAACTGAGAGTTTTAAAAACATCTTTTTGTATATTAGATGGTTTCATCAGCTTTGTAATCACTACAAGGTACGTGGAAGAGCATATTATCTATATAAACCCAAAGGCAAGAGCAGAACTGTTGGTATTACAAGCAATGCAGCACTACAGAAGCTCAAACGAGGTTTGCAAGATGAGCAGACGGCTGTTATATATCACTGCCATAACCATTACTTCTGTCCTGTTGGATATGAGGAAACACCAACCAAATCAATAGATGCATACCGGTATGTTGAATTCTGATAGAGTAACATATATTATACTGTCATACTGTCATTTACATCTAGGTGCGAACACCAGAAATCAAAATGTGTTCTAACTGGCTACTGAAACTTGTACATTTGTCGGCTGAAATGTCAAGGTTTGTCAATTAATCACAACTAATCTTTCATATTTTCTTTTCCAAAGTACTGTTCTACCAAAAGATCAAACTATCAACTGGATATTGGTCTGTGATCCCAGCAGCAAACACCCTGCCATCAATTCAATAAGGTATTACTTTTTTTTTTTCTGGTGGAGGGGGTTTTATATCTTTTTAATTATTCATTTCTTTTTTCTTGCATATCAATTTAATTCATTAAAAATAATTCTCGTGATTATGATAATGTGTTAACAAAAAAACTTCAGATTGTTTCAATGCGAATCCAGGAATTTTAGCAGGGAGTGACTATTACAAAGGTTTTAGGAATGCAAGGAAAAGGGGCAGGGTGGCTTACTGGCGAGGATAATGCTGAGTAATTTTAAGCAAAAGAGGGGTGACTAGCCACCCCCTTCACCACCCCTGCATTTGCCCCTGTGTTATATAGAAACCTTTATTTACACATGGTTATCCAGTCAGATATACAAAATGCAATCTGATATCAAAAGGAGCCCTAAAATAAATACACTGTTCTTTGAAGAGATATACATTACTTGTATTTTGGACAATGTTACTGAGGCAAGATGACATATGGCTCTTTAACTGATTTCTATTTGCATGCCAATTTGGCTCCTTCCACAATAGATGGAGTGACATAGACACTGATCTAAACTGTGAAAACCCATACCATATGAACATACGAAAACTGCACAATGGCGTTATGCAACGCAAAACTAGAAAAGTTGGTGGAAACCTCCACTGCCTGATGGCATTCCAACGAAGCTCTTGGCAAGGCGTAAAGAGAAACATGGTCATAAAGTATCAAGAATCAGACCTAGAAATTACCCCTGGGACAGATTCTGAAAGCAGTGACAGTACAGAGGACAACGATGATTAAATTTATAGAGTTCATTGTTGGTGTGGTGTGATGTGGCTTGGTGTGGTGTGATGTAGTGTGGTATGGTATATATGGTGCAGTGTGGTGTGTTGTGGTGTACGTTTGAAGTGTGGTGTGGTATCCATGTGGGGTGGCTTTGTGTACATGTGCTGTACATGTTGTGTGAAGTAGTGTGGTATGGTATGGTGCAGTGTGGTGTGTTGTGGTGTACGTTTGAAGTGTGGTGTGGTATCCATGTGGGGTGGCTTTGTGTACATGTGCTATACATGTTGCGTGGTATGGTATGGTAATGTGCAGTGTGGTGCGTTGTGGTGTAGTTTGAAGTGTGGTGTGGCATCCATGTGGGGTGGCTTTGTGTATATGTGCTGTACGTGTTGTGTGGCGAATGTGGTGTGACGTATATATTATAGATCAAGTTTTATATACTCTACCATTACCCTTACCAAACTTCTCACTGCCCAATAATTATTTGAATCCAGCCTCGCCTCATCTTCCTTACCACAGTAGTTCGCATGCCCCCTCCCCCCCCTCCCCATTAATTAAATCGCAAAACAAAAGGCATTTAAGATTTATTAGTTCAGTCCTAAATCGCGTTCAAGGATACCAGCTCCTCTGAACTGCATTAACAGAACATAGTTTTTATTTTGTGCAAGTCAGTGCTTATACTATATATATTTTTGAATATTGGTGTGAGATAGCTGAATGTTTAACAAATATATAATTTCATCTGATGTTACGTATATAAAGTTAAAAGATAACAGTATCTTCAAAAGCCCCGGTCATCGTTACCAGAACCATATTCTTAAGAAGTTGAACAGCTTCTGCTTTTACTTTGAGTTACCGGCAGCCGTTGAAATACCGAAATACCTGATTACAACTCGTTAAGAAAAGCTATACTGCGCATGTCAAGACGCGCACTAGACTAATAGGCAACGGACTAGATGGTTGAAGCATGTGGAATTATCAGTGGTTTTCCTCGTTTGTGATAGTAAAAGAGAAAATAAATTAGAATACAAACACTATGAGTGTGCAACATAAATACCACTAAATACTGCTAAATTATACTAACCCTATTGTTTTCTATTGTTTAATTAGCACTATTTACTAATAAATAGTGCAAAGTGTTGCACACATTTAGTGTTTGTACTCTAAAACAGTGGTATGCTAGAATGGTAATAGTTGATGTTTTATACTGTTCCTGTGACACGAGTGAAAAACGTCTGCGCATGCTCTGAATCCGTATGCAAATTAGTCAAAATATATGCAAATTTGGCTTTGAAACTACATGCCTGTTAAATTGGACTTCACAAAATGCTAAAACTTAGTGTCCATGCTTGAAACTTTAGGCTAATTCTTTCATATTGTGTTTGTTAATACAGTATCTTGGTAGGACAAAAGTATACTCTCGAACGTTTTTGTATATATACTTGGAGAAAACAAGCTTTTATTTTCTCACTCAAACCTACTCTTCAAAATTCTTAGAATGCTGAAATGCACGCATGCGCAAAACGTTTTCTAGTGTATGTTCCTGTAACTACACGATATCCCATGTGTTGTTCAGGGACAAATAACTTTGACCAGTTTTATACGATAAAATATTGAATATTATAACACAAAAGTCATCAAGTAAACGAAGTAGTTCGAAAAGCGTCAGTTTAAAAGCATAAATGATAGTAAAGTTCGTAGACAGACTGAGGGGTTTTCTTCGGTTTTCCTCCCTCCTCGAAAATTAGGGCCACAGGTTTGTTAGCCTCTGGCTATTAAGTGCTACCCCGTAAGAAAAGGACGGTTTTTGTTACTGACGTAATTCCGTCACCGTTACTTTTGAGTCGAAGTGAAAACGACTAAAGGCTGACAAGGAGTCTGTTTTGGTTTGTCAATCCAGCTACATAAAGCTAGACCAAGTGGAGTATATTTAGGTTAATTAGTTGCTAACTACAGAGTTGAATATTAACTAGAAATCATCTTAGACGACATCTATGGTGACCGCTAAATCATCATCATTATTATCATCACCAAGTTCAGTTTGAGTTCCTGCAAACGTCATCATCGTCACTTTGGGTTGTTCGGCAGGGGAAGAGCTTTCGTGCACCGCCTCCACCTCATCAACGTCGAAATCAAGCCGAGCTTCTTGGATGCTTTCGTTGGAGAACGAGACCCTGCCCAAGCTGTCGGTATTATCATACGCATAATTATTGTAATTTTGTGGTACGTGCTCTTCTTCTTCAACGTCAGGTAAATAAGGAGCGATAGTTGGAATGGTAGCACGTGAACTTGCAATAGATGGTGCAGCAGTGTTTGCACGAGAGCCAATGGAAGAGCTCCTTACAATTGATCGATCATAATAGTCTTCTGCAGCATTGGTGTTGAAATGTCTGAAACAAAACGAGAACTCAATATGACATGGATTACCGCCGTTTGCATTACTACGCGGCCACCCCAGACACAAATCGCGTCGTGTAGTTTGCAATAGACTGCCGTCAATCAAACACCTCATTCTACTTGGATGTACTCTTTGCAGTCGCTTTCGGAATTTTCCTTCGTGATATGTGACTGAGAAAAGTTGATAGAAAAGCCAACTCACTGATCCAAACGTGTATAAATGGCGTCAACATGAATGATTGACGGCAGTCTATTGCAAACTAGACGACTCGATTTGTGTCTGGGGTGGCCGCGTAGTGACGCAAACGACGGTAACTTCGTTTTGATCTAATCCTGGAACAACCTTTGAGTTAAACTAATTTAGGACGTGTTTGATTTTGCGGAAGGAAGACCAAGAGAAATACCCTCGAATCAATGGGCGACCCATCAGACTCTACTTATGCATGTAAATATGCATGTTTTATAATATGTTACACGAGAATATAAAAAACAGTCAATCTTATAGCTCTTTTACAGTTAAGCTAAAAACTACCTTATTTCTACCTATTTTGACTAAGTTGTTATCATTTATAACCATTGATTACTTTATAATTCCGTACATCATTGTAACATTTAACTAGCTATATAATACAATTTAAAATATAAATGTAAATATGCTATCAATGAAAAGAAATTTGTAACGTAGAAAAGGTTGCTTGTACTAGAATAAGCCATCGGTTTCGTTACAAGCATCCTTGTTTTATTTTGATTTTTTGTTATTGTATTAACTAAGTTTATTTTCATGACAAAAACAAATAAACTGTAAACTGTAATTCCTAGTCCCGGCATCGAATACCAGCCGCCTTCGAAATCCTCCCAAGGGAAGAAATCGAGGCGATTAGTGCACTACTGCTACTAACACTATCCTTTATAGGAATTAAGATAAAGCAGATGGGTTCAAGTATCGTATACTTACGCTGCTTCTTCATTTTCTCTCAATGTCTTGCGTCGTTTGATTGTCAGGTAAATAACCACGATAATAGCAAGTAAAATCAGTAAACCAAACACTATAGCCACGATTATTGACGAGTTTACTGTGGAAAAAAGTTAGATTACATTATCATATTTCCTTACCAAGTGCACTTGATTTATAAGCTAATAATCAAGTGAAGTGCATTTCATACAAATATTAGAGCGTCTGACTAGCAAACAAAAGATCACGAGCTCGAATCCCGACGCATTATTTTTCTAGAAAAAGTTACTTAAAGGAACATAATCCACTTCTTTAACATTAGTGTTGCCATCAGAAAACTCACCGCATACTCCACTGCTGCATGATCGGGATTCTGAGGTCAGCCCTTCGCAACTTTCTCCCTGTTCAGCTTGACAGGTCCGCGTTCTCTCCTGACTGCCATCACAACTGGCTGAGCAAGAACTCCATGCGCTCCAAGGGCCTCGATATAAAGCT